TCCTCTGATCCTTGCACTGGGGGCGGGTTGGCTAAGTTGTATCAGCTCCCTGTTCCCCTTATCACACAGACAGAACATGTTAATTACCAGGTATGGACACCCATACCCAACCTGTGCTCCCTAAAAGCACACACAGCCAGGGGCACGGGTCCCTGCACTGGCTCCATCATTAAAGGGCTCTGTGTCTCTCTGGATCCAGGCAAGAGTTAACAGAACAAACACAATAGGCTCTTTCTGATCACTGCCCCTGAGCAGCCCACCCCAGCCACCATGCTGCCCCCCACAGAGGATGCAAAAGCCACCTTTTTATGTAACTCAAAAGAAACTATTACACAATCATCAATGCCATTCAAATTTCATGTTTTAATATCAATATCTATGCCTTGCAAATCATTCTATTCCTGATTTCCTTCTGGTTTTGTTTCTTTATTAATATGCTTCTCTTAATTTTAAATTATTGATGCTCTTAAAGTAGGGCAGTTCCATGAGACCGTAGAGAGAAGTGTAACTTTAAAGAATCTACTGCCGAGTGTTTTAAGTATTCTCTTCAGTATTACTTTAACATTTACCTATTGACTACCTAAACTTCTAACATCACTCTTTCACAGAACAGCAGTAACACAAAGCTCTCTTTGTAACATGGCAAATTCAGAGCAAGAAATCCAAGATATGAGCTTGCAGATTATTTTCTTCCAACTGCATTCATCTGCATTCAACTGCTTATTTATAAGCAGTTATTTGCAGCCTTGATATTACTTCACATTCATATAAACTTGATGACAAAAAAAGCTTCCAAAAGCTAGGATAAAAATGAGAACATCCCTATCACGTTCAATTCACCATTTCTTTCCAAAATGATTATTTGTTTTTTACTGTCAAATTATCATCCTTGCCAAATTACCGCTGATCAACTGGAGGAAGAACAAGTCACACTGGAAATGTAAAGCTCAACTCTATCATGTTTTTATTGCTGTTCCAGTGTGTTTGAAGTACGGCTTGTTAACAGGCTGATTTAAAACAATAGTACTAATAATAATAAAACCAAGCCCACATAAGGGGAGAAAGAAACAACCCCAACAACCTTTTCCAATTTGTTTTATCTGAAATGTATTTCTGAAACTCTCAGACCTGGTCTAAAAGTGTGTTCCATCTGACTCTGATGCTGATAGCATCCTATCACTGAATAAAAGGGTAAGTCACTTAAAGAACTTTACTCCAACGCCCCCCAAAAGAACTAAAAATTCTTAAGTGAAAGCAGAGAGGAAGAAGACAACACAACATTTACATGTATTTGGATAAATTAAGTCAGAGTAACAAACATGACTGTATGACTAAGTAATTGCTCAAAGAATGTCCTGCAGTCCTAGGAAGAGCTGAGGATTTTGGCGCAAACTTTGCTCTGTGCTCAGCCCTTAGTTACACATGCAGAATGACCAAAACAAAAACGGGTTAGAAAGGGGCTGTGACAGGGATCCACCTCCTACCACTTCACCCTCTGCAACAAGAGTAAGGCAGAAGCCTGCGTCACAGGCTGAACGATTCTGGCAGAGTTGAACTGGAGGACATTAGGTTGGGGTTTGGCCTGATAATGTGTCTTTTCTGCTTACGAAGCTGAGAAAGTGCAACCACAACACAGCAGTAAATATACTGCTCTGCTGAGTTTATTTTTGTTCAAAATCTGATTATGTAAAAAAATGACTGCACTAGGGAAAACAGTTAAATGCCTTTAAGGGTTTTCAAATCCAGATGAGAGAACATTCACGTACAGTCTCTTCAGCCAACATCTTCTTCTATTTCCTGTACTGGTATTTTATGTTGTGATCAATATTTCTCAAACATTATTCTCTCTGCTGCAAAATCAAAATGGAAGACTGGCCATAACAGCACTGTCCTAAGAATACTTCATTTGCCCTTTTACTCATATAATCGAAAGCATTTTATTGTTTTCAAATCCCTAATCCAATAATGTAGAAACATAAGAATCAGGATAAAACAAGAGAGAGAGTGAAGGATTTTAAGATTCAAAAGACACTCGTTTGCCAAGTAACAAGCCTTATGGCACAGTGCACTTGTAAATAACCATCATCTCCAAAGAGCTCCACATTAGCTGTGGGTCTAAAACAAAACCATCAGGACCTGCTTTGCTTTCCTTTATTAACGTGTACAAATTTAAATGGATTTTGCAGTTGCAGGAAACATCTCCATCTGCACACTCACAGCTTGCCCTCTACCCCACCCCCTGAGGGAGAAGCTTCTGCAGATCCTCACTGCATTAGCAACCAGAGCAAAACAAGAAACACAGAGCAGTAAACTGCTCAACCTGCATGGCTGGGATTGATAGGCAATCGCATTTCATCGCAGTCACCACAATAGGGCACAGCTGCTATGGCACTGCTACAAGTGCATCCAACACTTTCCTGATCGTGTACACGCCATAAACTGAGACTTTGTTCCCTGTCATTTCACACCCAAGGCACAAGAGCAATAATCACAAGCACAAAATACATAATGTGGCATTTTATGTTAATAATTTTACAGACAAGTGCAAGGAGCCAAGTGTGTATTTCAGCTGAACTGGAGATTTGGAAATTATCAATTTGATAGTGATTTTGCACAGCATTCACAGCAGACACAAAGTATCAGAAGAAGTTTTCAAATAAAAATCAGTCTTTTGGATTTAGAGTGGAAACAGCTTCAGTGTAGAAGTTTACCACACACCATTTGGAGGGGCAGAAGTGGCCCCGTTTCCCCTGTATCTGAACACTGGCACAGGGATGCCAAAAAAGGGCATCAACTGCCATCATGCTGCTTTTTGCAGTCCCTCATCTGTGGTGAAATATTTTAGCTTTTCACTTTGATTGTGAAACCCAGTTTTTAACACCCCATTGAAGTGAACTGGACTGTCCCCAGCACACACCTCAGCTACGCTACTCCCCAGGACCTTCAAAAACCTGACTGTGAATGCAAACCAGTGCAGCCACTACTGAGATTATCTGCATTCATTTCCTTACCCTGTTCCAGATGATAAAATAACCATAATAAAATACAGCCTGTACCAGAAGATATATCAACAAATTTTGGACTAGATATATTGCTGTGATTTCTAACACTGAAACAATAACAAGGATATTTTTTATACAGTAAATAGGATTTTTGATTTACATTTTGAAGAATCTTCCCACAGCAAAGTAAGAAAAGTGAAGGCCACAACACAAAACTCTGAGAGAGGCTCATCTCCCAGCTGAACTCAGGCCTAGATGAAAGCCCCCTCCCTGAAACACACAACGACTTCATCCTGACAGGCCAGCACAATTCAGTGACTATGTGCAAAAACCTACAGCTATAAAAATCTATGTAGCACACAGCTGAAGGCTGTGAGGTGTCCTCGCTGAGAAATACACTGCTTTACAAAAGATTCCCCATCAGAGAGAGAAATTAATGCTGATAAAGCTTTCATTAAGTCACAGCCTGTAAGTTGCTTTTAGTACTTCTGGTCAAAAATCATACTGAAGAAACAGAGGCAGCGTTGCAAAGAAGTTGATAAAACAGCAATAAAAAAGAATTTTTTATCTGCATCCCTTAAGTTATTTCAGGACTACAGGGTTTTTTTAACTAATGGAAGACAAAATATGAAATCCTAAGTAAGGCTACTGAGCATGCCAGGTTAATAACCTAGTCATTAGATGCACAGATCAGACAGCATCACCCCAGCTCATTGAGACTGCTAAAAAATCCATCTCACACTCTCAATCCAGTTAGTTCACGTTTTTTGTAGTTCGTTCACGGCTGTCTGTAAGACCTATGTTACCCACAGCAAACCTACACGATCGCTTTTCAGCGAGACTCAGACTAAGTCTTTATAATACAATATAATTTAGACCTAGGAAGGCTGAAGATAACTTTCACCTGCACACAATAAGGCAGGCACTAATCCGGCCAGCTCTGCAGCACAGACAGCACGTCCTGAGCAAAGTCAGGCAGCGGCAGCAACTCCTATGCTCGGATTCACCTTTTTTATCCCCGCGACCTCGGCTGCTGCAGCCAGGTGAGCCCTCGCAGGGCACTGGAAGGGACGCGGGGCTGCCAGCAGGATTTACTACCTCCTCCCCTTCCTGAACGTCTGCAATCGCACTACGGAGACGGAGGAAATAACGAGAGCGACCAACTCCAGAGGCACAAGATTTAAAGAAAATAAACGCAGGAGCGAAACGAAACGAGACGCTCAGCTGCACCCACCGACCGAAGGATGGGGGGGTGAAGGGAGGGAGAGGAAAGAAGGGTGATGCCGGAGAGACAGCCTCGGGAACACGGAGAGGAGGCAGAGCTGAGGAGCGGGAGGCAGAGCTGCTCCCCCTCCCCGAGGGCAAGGGCGGGCCAGGCCCGCGGCCGGGCAGGGCGGCGGGAAGGAGGGAGGGAAGGGAGGAGGGAGTTGTCCGGGGCAAGGGCGCTGCCCCGGCGGCTGCACTCACCACACCATGCCGTAGGCCCCCTCGCCGATGTAGGAGAGGTTGGTGTAGCGCGGCCCCACGTCGAACACTTGTCCCCGCACCATCTCCGGGCCGCCGGCGCTGGCGGAGCCGCCCGCAGCCCCTGCCCCCGACACCGCCGCCATGTTGTCCGTGCCGGGAACCGCGGTGCTGCGTGCGGGGGGGCGGAGGCGGGCGAGGAGGGGGGCGAGGAGGAGGATGCGGGAGGGAGGAGAGAGGAGGAGGAGGAGAAGGAGGAGGGAGGAAGAGGCGCCGCCCGCTCCGGCCGCTCCGCCGCTCTCGGCCCGTCGGCCCCGTCAGCGCCGAACCCGCCGCGGCCGCTCTGAGGAGGCGCCGCCGGCCGCGCGCGCGCACCGCCCGGCCCGGGAGGTGCAAGGGGGGAGCGGGGGGGGGCGAGGACGCGCGCGCAGGGAGCGGCGCGGGGCGGGGCCGCGCGCGCAGGGGGCGGGGCCGGGGGCGGGGCCGGGGACTGCGGTAACCGCAGCCGCTGGGGAGGGGGCGCGGCGGCCGCGGGTCACGTGGGGCGCGCGGCGGGTCACGTGGGCGCGCGGCGCCATTAGAGGCGTCAGGTGACGGGCGGGAAATGGAGCCGGGCCCGGCCGCCCTCAGCCCGCTCCGCCCTGCCATAAGCGCGACTTCGTTTGTGACCCTTCCCGGCTTCACACAGTTCTGCAAACTCTTTTCAGCATAATGTTTTTACATGTAATGACGTTTTCCTGTTCGCTGCTTCCCGTATAAATGTAAATAAACTTTGTAGGGGAGGTAAAATCTCAGCTGAAGGTTAGTCATGGTTTGAGTACTGCTTGCAACCGTGCCGTATCTTTTCTGGTTTTCTGCAAGGCAGAGTTTTCCTGAAACAGCTTTTTCCTTGTTTGCAGGGCTTCATGCACAAGGATCTTAACTCCAGTTCTGCCCTTTCCAGCAGTTCTCTAATGACCCTGACAGAAGTACTAACCCTGGTTACTACTGACATTTTCTCTGCCAGCATCTCCGCTGCTTCGCGTCTGTCCGCACCCATGGCCCCGGCGATGCCTCGCTTCTCCCAACTCGCCGAGGTCGTTTCTGGCATCCCGCCTTCTCCCGGCCCTTCCTGCTCCGACCCGGCTCCTTTGCCGTCGGCCGAGCCGCCTCAGTGGTGCCCGGGGCGGGGAGCGCAGTCCCGGCTCCGGCTGCGCCCCCGGCTGCCCCAGGGCTCCGGGAGCCACCCAGCCTCGGCTGATGGAGGGAAACCTGTCAGGGACAAGCACCAAAATCCAACAAACTCGCCTCTGTCTTTAACAGGCATTCGACTCTACAGCTCGTGGTTTGTATATTTGAGTGGGATAATGCTTCTGATGTATTAATTTTTACATGTCTATGATGGTTTTTGTTTCGTGATGCGTTCTGCACTTCAGACACACAGCATTCTTTTTCTCAGAAATTTCAGACACCAGTAAATGCAAGTGTTTCAATTTTCTGAAACCAAGTACAGTATTATTTTAAAGGTTCTTTTAACTCTAAAAATGAAAATTTGCTTACAGTTCTGTTACATACATATATAACTCTGTCATTAGCAAATGCAAAACAAATTATTATGGAGAATGTAGCTTAAACACAGCCTGCCATACTAAATTTAATTAAAAACTGGTGTATATCTAAATTATTTTCTACCTTCGTGGGATGTGTCTGATCAAAAAGGAAACCAACCAGGCAGGCCAGGAAATTGTGGAAGGACTGTCAGCTCTTTTGAGCACTGTGTTCAAATATATGTCTAATCCAATTAAACCCGAGTAAATGGTCAGAGGCTACAGCATGCTCTCCCAACAACTCCTCCCATGGCAGAACTGGGTGCAGTGTTTCAGTGAAGCTCTGCAGTTGCTGAGATAGGCAGAGCAGATGGGAGTGGTATCAATCAGTTTTCACCCTACTTAAATACACTGCCATTACCTGCACTTAATGTTGGGTCTTTTGCCTTAATAAGGTGACATAAAAGCCTCAATTTTGGAAAGCACATAAACATGTTTTAAGAAAATTATGAGTTCCATGATCAAAATGAAGGGGGAGAAGAGGTGATACTTACTAAAAAATGATAGCAGATAATGAGAAGCAGAAGGAAAAGACCTTTTTATTTTGAACAGAGAAGAGTTTGTGTAAGCAGAAACAGGAATATTAAGAAAAAGCTAAGCCATTAGCTAAGTCAGTGTAAATACGTCATGGTTTGGACTGTCTCCATCTTCAGTCAAGTTCAGGAGTCACATGAATGAGTTCATCCTACAATCAGGATCTAGAAATTCCCTGCACTGTTACTCGTTTCTGCTTTAACTGTTAATTCTTGTTCTGTAAATAGGTCTCTTGAAAAGGGAACATTGTACCACAGGGCCCCTGAGCCCTGGGATCAGCAGTGCTGGGTCAGGCTGAGGACAAACAGCATGGAGCTGCTCTATGGTGCCCCTCTGTAGTGGGGGTGGGAGGCATCTCAGATCTTTGTGCTAATTTAAAACTGAAGCCACATCTCCTAAAATCATCATAATTATACCGTTTGTGTGATTTGCAGCCGTGGCTTTCTTGGTAGCTGTTGTACAAGTATGTCAGCATGAACCTGAACCTCCCCATCATCCCAATCAAACACTGGCATTAAGTACATACAGTTTTACCAGAATTATTTAAAAAGACCTCAAGCCTTTGTGCGGGGGTGATGAGAGAGAGAAATAAGACATGTTAAAATGTTTTATAAAGATATATTTTAACTTCTAAGGCACTCAGGAACCATGGTGATGGTTCTTGAAATTGCTTAGATATGAGCTCTGATCCACAGGGAACTATCCTAAGATTCAGAAAGAGCATCAGCTGGTAATAACTTCTAGTCAGTACCTACCTGGGCTTGACTGAACAGGTGACACACATCAGAAATCCCTTGAGACTCATCTTCATGTGAATGACCACTGCTTTCGCAGTGTAAAGCGACCTTAATGAAAATGAGGCTATTGCTGTAATCTTGCACTGCTGGGAGGTTAAAAACAATCTCTCATCCACACTGCTGGGCCTTGGTGCCAGAAAAAATTTACTTTCCTTCCCAGTATTTCTTTTTTTCTGCATTCAACATTCTGGCAGACTTTGCATGGAGCTTAGACACCATGGAGTTAAGATGAGAAAACAGATTGCTGTGGTTGTTCTGTGCATGCCAAGGGGAGCACAAAAGATTATTAATTGCAGAATGATTCTGTCAGTAACAGCCTTGATCCTGCACTGGGTATCATTCTGTCACTGTCAGAACCTGTCACTGTTGTAGGAGATGTCTTGTATTATCTATCATGTTCTGGTTAGTTTTGCTGTTCACAAATACAGTTTGAAAACACAGTTGCAATTTCAAATCATTTTCATATTCTTTAGTTTTGAACAAGTAATTTACAATCATACTCTAAATATTTTTAAAGGGATCTATTTTACAGCAACCTTAAAAGCTTATAATATAAATCTAGCTATTTTAATTAATATACTAACATTTTGTAGCTGTCTGTATAAAATTAAGTTGCTTTTATTTTTCAACTGCAGTTGTAGCAGTATCCAGGCACTGTCCTGCAGTTCAGGAATGGAAATTTCCCAGCCTCAAAGCACACTCTGTCTCAGTCAGCTGCAATAAAACTCTGAGTGATTTCAATATTGTTGTGTGCCTTACTTGTCCTCAGTTATCTGGAGCTTGTATCTTTTGAAAACCAGCTACTCCTCATGAGCTTGCTTCATCTTGCCCAAGACATGAAATTCAGTAAACAAGCTGAGGATGATAAGAGAACTGAATAACCAGATAAAAAGTTAATTTACAGGACTGGCAAAATGAAACATACGCATATTAAGTATTTACACAGCATATTACAGCGACTTGTGAGTCTTCACTGAGGTCCTGCTACATGACCCCTGTTTTCTCGTGCTGAAGCCTTGTACACTGGAAGGCTATTAAGTTCTTACAATAAGATTTAGCTAGTACATAATATCAGTCTTTTGTTTCTGGTATCATTGATTGCTAAGAAATTAAAAGTTTTTACATAATTTTACAAAATTATTACATAACCTCAGAAGTCTAATAATTTACAAATACTAGAACATGCAGTGTGTTTCCCCCACATTTATTTTTGGTTCAGCTGTAGGCAGGACAAGTGATGCCTCCAGCAGAGGCAGAAGTCAAAGCATGTAAAAACAGGATTATTAGGATTTTATGTTGTCTAAATATTGCATTTTTAATGCTTTTTGCTCATAGCAAAAAATGTAGGGAACTTTTGTAATGAAGAGGTTGGCTGATGTGAAAACAGAGGAAAAAGGGTGATGCAAGAATGAATAAAAGAGAATATGGAGGGGGAGAATGTAACTTACAATTAAAATGAATAGGCAGTGGGACTGAGCTGTGGGAATAGAAGGGCCCTGGTTGGAGGGGTGATATCCAGACCCCACTGCATCTGGCTGTGTGCAAGGGAAGCCCCTGGCAGACACACAAGTCTATTCAGGGAGAACCAGTTTGGGGACTGGTGCCAGGCCTGCTAAAAAGAGCTCACCAGGACTTGCTTTCCCCGACGTCGGCGCCTGCTGGGGTGACGTTCAGCACAAACGCGTGCGGCCGATGACTCTGGTGGCACAAGTACACGTCCTACTTGCCTTGATTAGATGTAATCTAAACCATGGGCAGTGGCTGAACAGAAACAAATGATAGGCATTGGCTGAACAGAAACAAATGATAGGGAACAGTACACTAATGGCACTCTGAGATTTTCACCAGGGTTGAACATTCAGCCAGCATTAATGGCTTTACATTCCATGACAAGTGCATGGCAGCCTTTAGAGTAAGCTGCAGGCCAATAGCACAGCAATTCTGGATGAAGGTTCCACATACAAACTGTCACTCTGGGCTTTCCTGGGCATGTGGCAAGGAAGCAGAATTCCCTCTTCTCTGCTGGGCAGACTGCAGGGAAATCTGCATCTTTGTTGTCTATACCTATACTGCTAGAGAGAGGGCAGGTATCAGTCTTCTTTCCTTTCACTTTGTTCAATCCACTGATCTGACAGCTCAAAAGGTCTTTACTGCTTATTTTTAATAGATTCTGTATAAATTATAGACATTAGTATCTATAGTCCAAAACTGATGAATCACCATTTTAAAAAAGAAATATTTCTTTTGCAGTTTTACATATCTATAGCAGATAAAAGCTGTGAAGAGATATTTCCTAAAGGAAGTGGTGTCACCATATTTTGAGAAAAAGAGCCAAGCTGTTGGAATCTGTGTTGCATTATGGGGTAATGCAATACCTCTGAGCACTTCCTGTTTATTATGAGTGATACGTTTTTCACCACATCATAAAACTTCCAAGCATTTGTTAATAAACACTTCTAGAGAAAAAATAATACCCAAATATACAACCCCTGGCATCTGTCATTATAAACAAAAGAAGGTTTTCATTATATATATTGGAGGACAATTTGTGTGAAAGGAGTAGATTTTGAGGGTCCCTTCCAGCTCTTGCTGAAGGCCATGTCACATCTCTCATTAGGTCATTGCACCCCAGCACATGATTCTTCTTATATGTAAACAGCAAGATGTTTGAATGAGCATGTGTAATTTTTACTATCATCATTCATCATTTTTAAGCAATGTGGGGATACAAACATCTGCAGAACGACAGGAGAGAGTCTTGTATGAAAATGGCAAAAGTAAGATTTGCTTTTAACAACAATAATCTGCCAGTATTGAGGTACCTAATCAAATACACAAACTGTGCAGATGTTTAGAGTGGTGCTCTCTTGCTGTGTGGCCTTTCTAACTTGTCAGCTTTGTTCCTTCAATTAATTCTTCTGGATAAATTAACCTAGCTGGGAAAGGAAGAGCTGGAGAGCAGAAGGGTGCAGATTTTTCAACACCAGCAACCTTGATGGCACAATTTCCACCCCCAGCAGATAAAATCTTTGGCAAGGAAATGCAAATTATTGTGACTGATTCAGGATGTTCTTGTGATCTGGCTGGGACTTGGTCTGCAGCTGACAAACACACGGGGTGGGGGTTGGGGAGGGAATTCAAGGTTTCTGCCAGTTCCATGGGGAAGCATTTTGATAGGCAACTGTACAACAAAAACACTGTACAGTCAGACACAAGACAGGCTGGTGCCTCATACAGCTTCACCACTGTTAAATTCACTGTTAAGTTCAAAGCAAACTGCAAGGCTTATCTGTTTGTTCAAGATGAGAACATCTGAACTGCAGTTTCATGTGGTAAAATCCTGTTGCATGGAAATTCAAGATGGGCAATGACTGTGTACAATTCTACTTCTTTAAATGGCTATAGAATTTAAAACTCTGCTACACGGACTATTATCAGTTAGACAAGAGGAAAAATTGAACCTCAGAAAGATGTTCCCTCCAGCTACCAGCACTAGATGTAGTAAAATTGAATTAATAATGAAGACATTTGTAGCTTTTTAGATTTTGAAAGTTTTAACAATGGGAAAATGATCTGGCTCACATTATCTTTGTCTTACCTGACATATGGTGATTATTATTGCAGATACACACAGCCTCATGATAGGAGATGCCTTTTATAAGTCCAATACATCCACTGTAGTCAGGCACTACATTTATCTTACTGCATTACCAAGTCTCTGGGTTTTGTACAAGTGACACAAAATTCTTGTGAGGCTATATCAGTGTCCTGAATATCAAGTAACTTTTCAATTTGATGTCTCATTTCCAACTGACATTAACAGCCCGATTGAATCCATGGCCTGGAAATCCTGAGAGAAAGACAATAACAGCTGCTTAAAAAAAAAAAAAAAACACAACAAAACCAAAACAAAATACAAAACAAAACAAACCCAAACAAGAAAGCACATCATACTTTTAGAAGGATATGGCAAAATACCTGTAGGATGATGCTCTGCATCCAATTTTCCATGTACTATTACTGGTGGCAGGATAAGGTTAAGTGATCACGCTCTGTCAAGCAGCACGTGTGGGGGAGCAGACAGCAGATGTGCAGCCACTTAGCCTATGCCTTGTGCACCAGACCGTGCTATGGAAATGCACGTGGATATTTAATTGCTATTCAACTACAAGTTGCTTGGATTTATGAGTCTGGGAAGTGCAGATGCTGCAGTGAGGAATGAGTGTTTATTAGCACAGTAGCTGTGCTGGCCTCTCCCGCAGAGAGGCAAAGTGCCCCAGTCTAGAGAAAATGGATTAAAAGGGGGCAGTGCACCACTCTCATGTCCCATTTACCTTTGTGAAGTGCAGCTGGAGAGCTGCCAATATATGGATACATTTCCATCATGAACTCTAAACAGATTTTACTGCTGCTTATCACAGATAATAAAAATGCAGCAGCTGTCCTCTTATCAAAACTCAATTTAGAGAAATGTATGGCTAAATAAGGGACATAAGCACCTTCAGGGGCAGCTACATGGATAGATGAGAATAAACCCTTTAAGAGCTAGATTAGGAAGATGGGACCATTACTCTATACTCAAGCATTTTTCCAGTGCTTGTTGCAGTAACCTTCTGTGGTTACTCTGCACGTGTCCCCTTTCCTTCTTGGTTCCTCTTGTACTACACTCTTCCCCATGTCAGCATCCTGCTGGGCTGCTGCAGTCCCATTCAATCCTCTCTCTGCCCCAGGGGTGACCTTCCTTCACCTCTCCAGTCAGCCTCCCTGCTCAGGCGTGTTCATCCTGTGCCATTTTGAGGAAAGCCCCACCTAGGAGGTGAAGTGAGAGGTTAAGCATCAACTAGGAGCAAGGCACCCCCCCCAAAATACCCCAAATGTGCAGCAAAATTCTGATGTTTGTACTTCTCCCACTCATTGCAGTCTCAATTCTCACAGTGTCCAATTCTTCTCCTTTCCTAGACTGGTATATTTTTTACTGAATTCATTTTCTTGCCATTTACTGAGCTGCATGAGCTCATTAAAGAGTCAGACAAGCACCAGACCTGTACAAAGAAAGCAGCATGACTGGAAGCAGAAGCATCATTTTGATACCAGCAGTCCTTTAGATTTGGCTCAGCTGCCAGGTGATATCACTCCCTAAGACTAGTTTCAGCTGTAAAATCAGGAGGTTTGACTACACTGCTGAGAAGCCTTCGCACTTCTCTTGCCTTTGCCACCCTTTTCTCTGTTTTTGAAAAATGCAGGAAAAAGGAATCATGAGGGCAGTTTTGTAATGGCTTCCTTAACTACCTCCTTTCTGCTTGTCCTCTGGCTCTCCTGTTTCTGCCATTTATGCTTCCCAAAGTCTCTCAGCTATAATTCTCTGTGCTCCTGGTGACATTGTCCTACCCTCTCATGAGCAGCCTTGATCAGGAGAGCCTTTCCACTAGAATTTTTCCCTTGCAAACTGTGCAAGCAAGACAGACAAACCCAGTCCTCCTTCCTCAGGACAAGTGTTCAAAAAAAAAAAAATTACACAATCCCCAAGACATGCACATTACTCACCAAAACAATCCTGGGAATCCTATTTGTGCCTCTCCTTTCTCTCCAGTGGTACCAGTGCCCTGAAGGCAGGACCCAGTAGCAGGACTGTGGCTGTATAAACCCAAAGCCTGCAATGGAGGGCACAGCTCTGTGCAATGATCAGCAGGCCTACTGTGAAGGACAGAAGTATCTTGCTGTGTTTGTTTTGTGATGTGTTCTGCTAATTTATACTGTTGGATTAATAAAAATAACAAGAGAGAAGCTTTCCAAATGGAATCCATTGCTAACTGTCCTTCATAGCTCTATTCTTGTTCCACACACATTAGGAAGTGCACATTATCTGCTAAATCAAGACACTAGAAACAAATAAATGCCTTTATCTTGTAAGGGGAAAAGAAGCCTTTCTAGAAATACTGTAGAAACACTGTAGAAACAGTCACATCCTCTATTTCTTTTATAAAAGGCAGGCTGTGTCTTATTATCATCAAGGAAGAAGTAAACAAATGTAATTTAATCAGTTCTGTCTTTCGCTGATTTGCATCAGCAAGAATAAAAGACAAAGGCAGAATGGAAAACAGCAGCTTTGTGCTAAAAGTTTCAATGCACAAAATACTTCTTTCTCCAGCTGTCAAACATTAAAAACCGCTCTGCATACCAGTAATAATAAAAGTGTCAAACAATTGACCACAATGGGAATCACAATGCTTCATTAAAAGCTCTAAAGCAGAGTAGAAAAGGTTCCAGACATTTGCTAAACAGAACTAAATGCTCAGATACTTTCAAAAAGTGTCAGAAGATGCTTTCATCTAGCCTAGTCATGCAGATAAATATCTCCTTGCTTATTCCAGCCCAGTCTCCAAGCTCCTGCTGTTTCAGCAGTAACAGCTGCATGTGCCACTTGCTGTCCTAAGGCTGAGGCAGCTCTAGTGCACCACAAGAGGTTAATGCCCTCTCCAGTGATGAGGCTCCATTGCATGTGATATTGCAGGGATTTAATCAGTAATTTTGTATTTACATACATAATTGTAATTATGCATTATTTGAGAACCTAACCTATTTGTTCAGCTGACAGGCGATGTTGTGATAAGGAATTTCAGCAGACAGGATATTTATAGATCCTTTATCTCTATGTACAATCAGAGCTAAAACATCAAACAATACCCCGAATGAAGGGTTGCTCCAGTTCAACTTTACCCCATTGTTGCTTTTCCTTTTTTTTCTCTCTCTCTGTCTGGTTATACCTAAAACTTGGCAGTGAGAGAAAAAGGACTGTGACTCACACTGACAACTTCATTTGCTGTAAGAGACCTCAGTAATTGCTCTAACCCACTTACAGGAAAGCTACCCCTCCTCTTTCTCTCCTTCTCCACCCTTGGACAGACAGAGGCTACGCTTGTAACAGGAGCAGCAGGCTGCTCCCAGAGGTCAGGCTATCACTTATGGAGTAACCGGTCCTTCCTTTTCACTTTTCTTCTTCTGCATTTCAAGTTAACCCCTCACAAGAATTTAGAGCAGCTTCAGCTTATGGGGCATCTACCCACCATGGCTTTTTCTGGAACCTAATAATAGGCAGGGTTTGCAAAGGGCTCAGGGCTCAAACACAGCAGGGGTGAGGTGGCTGCTCCCACAACACGCAGGGCTCGGCAGCCAGGACGGCAGCTCCAGGATAAAGCTGCCAAGATGAAAGCAGCTTCTGATGCTTTTTGAAAGTATCTGAGCATTTAGCTCTGTTTAGCAAATTGTCACCTTTTCCTTTCCTTGTGGGATGGGGGCTGGGAATGGTAAATAGAAACAGGAGAAGAATCAGCACAGTGCCATGCAGCACTCTACCAAAATATATTTTCATTTTTACTTACATAATCAACATGAGAGCAGCATTCATAGTGAGGTGGCAGAACAGATGGCAAAGACTTAGTTTTCAGCAAGACGTTAATTAACAACAACTCGGGTTTCTGCTAGAGAAGGGGGTTTGTTCAGCTCTAGCAGGGTTGAGATGGGTTCTTACTACATAAAATAAAACTCAGTTTCCCCAGACAGAATTGTGATTTCTTTATTCCCTTACATCCCTGTTACTTTTCCAGGATACTCTCTAAAACACACCAAACATCCCAAATGCAAAGGTTGGGTCACTAGGTTGGGTCCCACCAGTAGCTTGGGATTCTCTTTGGAAATACTTTGAATACTCTGTGAACATATAAATGCAAAGAGCAAAGGGAAGAAGAGTCCTGAGTAAGAGATTTGTGTGCAACTTACGCTACAGGTGAAGCTTGTGTTGTGTGCAGCAGCTTTCACGGAAATATGATTGAAGCTAAAGCTTCTTAGATGTTCTGCATGAAGTTCTCTCTCCTCTTTCCTCTGTTCCACACACTTGGACTTCACATCTTCAGCACACTGATGCAGCTGAGTTGGAAAGAACTGTCCCAAGGGGGACTGAAGCAGAAAGTAGCTATGAAAAATATTTATTCAAACCACAGGCCGAGAATACATCACCCAGACACAATGAATAGGGAAATGGCACATGAAGCCTAAAAGTCTGGCCTCTATTTTTCATCTGATAAACTGTCTGGACACCCAGGCACACTGAACAGCCACAGATATCCAGCTCTTCCCTCCCTGGGCTGCCAGGTGATAGGAGGCTGTGTTTTCCTGCTTTACATTCGGCATCAGTGGCTCTCCAGAGTCACACGCCCAAGTCCTGCAGAGGCCTGTGGGCCACATTCCTCTGAGGATTACATCCATCCCAGCAGGAGAGAGGGAAGAGATGCAGGCCAAAAGGGATGGGCAAACAGTGGGGAGGGAGGAGTGGAGGGGAGCAGGGAAGGAATGAGCAATAGAGAACATCCAAATTAACCCAGACAGGAGCTGGAGGGCAGTACTGCAGAAAAGGGAGAGGGGAAGCAGTCATACACTCCATTATGTAAAATAGGGCATCAGGGCATCTAGATTGATCTGCTGTGGAGCATGGAAATGAACCCATTATTCCCACATCTCAGCACTTATCCCTGTGCTGCCAGCAAATCTCTAACACCTGACAAGAAACGTCTCTGCCCATTCTAGTGACATGCACATCTAGAGAGGTTGCTTTTCCATTACTCCCACTTCCTCTATGCAGGCAGTAGATGGCTGTGGGTCTGTGCTGCAAGCTGAAAATCATGCCCTACTCATTACCCAGAGGGAGTGAACAATATCTTTGCAATGATTCTTTATTTTCTTCAGTGTGTGTGCTAAAAACATGGTTGGGATGACTGAAAAACTACATTACAAGAATACTGCAAGTATCAAGTCTAACTAAAAACGAGTTTGTGCTTGAACTAAGAGAGTCTGTTTCACCTTTCAGCAGCTACTTTAATTCAAAATTTCAGGTAGGCTCCTCTGCCTGTTGCCCTCAATAACAAGAAAATACATCCTGACATTGTTACACTGAGCATAACCAATGTGCAGAATTTTTCAAGACTTTGGTCTCCACCAGTTCATGTTGTGTCAAACAAGAAATGGGCCACAGAGAATATCTTGCATACATCAGATGGCAAAGATTCTTTGCAGGATGATTTTCAGGAGAAGTGCCAGATATCACTGAAACTGTGCTTAGGAGGTGCAAAGTAAAGGAAAGAAAAGAACACCAAAATTGTATTCTGCTTAGTTTGCAGGGGTTAAGAGGGAGATGTGAGAATCAGCAGAACTGCTTCTGTACTTACAGCTGATTTTTTGGGAGGAGAGAAGAGTGATGAAAAATCCTTTGCAGATATTACCTTTAAAAAATATTATCAGCATAACAAGAGGGTAACTCTTCAATCAAAACAAAAAAGAGAGGCAACCAACAGATGCACAGACAAGCACTGACTTCAGTGGAGCTGCAAGGCTGAATTTGGCTCCAATTCTGTGAAGTACTTTCAAAGCAGGAACATACTGCATACAAATGAGCATTAAATAATTCACATCATTAAGAGAGCTCTGAGCAGCTCATCTGGACTTTGAAAAAAGCTAAAGCAAATGTAGATTGTTTGAATACCATTAGGGACAGTCATTAACAAGCTCTAAGGCATCTACAATATTGACACAGTGACCCATCCTCCTTCCCATGTTATTTTCTTTATTGATTTGTATTTTCTTACACATGAGCCTTAGAGTGTGACAGAGCTCAGCAGTTCATATAGGAACATCCCTTAAAGCACTATACAATTACATTTTTGGTATAGTGCATCTTTTAATTTTGGGTTTAGAGAAACATGGCCCTGTTTGGTGTAGATAACATAGACAGTTTCAACACCAATGCATACCAAAGAAACAAAGGCAAATAGGTAAATGGATTCATTAAGGGTGACACAGAAGGAGCTGTGTAACAGAAACAGTTACACTGGATGCCTGGTTTCCAGGTTGAAGCATTTCATTCAATCAGCTCTAAGCAGAGCAGCTGTAGCACTGGGATAAACTGTAGCCTCATACCATATCTCAAATGCTGGGAAACATGTGGGACAGTGCAAGAACAATGCAGAAGAGATCAGATGAAGAACACAAATTGTGCAAAGAACTGAAGGTACTCAGGTGCCAGAGCTGCAGGAGTTGAGAAGTGATGGAATACTGAGAGCTAAATATGTGCAGCAAAGTGCAAAGGGGGAGGCAGGGCAGGCACCAGCCTACAGGCAGTAGAAGGGGAGCTGGAAGGAATCTTTAATGAAGGCAGAAATAATTCTGAGTGACTCAGAATATTGGTATTCACAAAGAGAATTGAGAACAAGCAAAAATAAATAAAGCCGAAAGCAAAACCCAAAGGCCAAATCCCTCTCAATAGCCAGAACACTGATATAATCTGAACAACCAAACAACAGGTCCTTGTGAAAACCCCTCCCCAGCTACTTCCTGCACACCAGCCTCTCTCCCGGGCTGTGGAGGGCTGCAGGCAGCTCCCCCTGCCCAGCCCGGCAGTTTTGCAGGCTGCTCTTGTGCTGACACCATTTTTCTGCAAAATGCGGCTCTGGTGGTCCTCCTTCCACACCCCCAGCCCTTGGCTTTCCTGTGACATCTCAACTAGTGTATTGTGTAACCTCACAAACTTCCCTGAGCAGCTCTGTGTGGCTTTCATTAGCTGCCAGCTTTTGTACATGACACAGGCACACACATCAGTCCCTGACAGACCCAAAGGCGCAGTAGTTTTATTTATGAGTGGATTTAATGCTAGCCAGCTTCAAGATCCGGCTGCCATCAGCCAAAAATATCTGCAGGCAGCATTTAACTAAAACCCCAAGTTCTACAAGTTTTACAGTAAAGACTGGAAACCAAGTTAGTTTCAGTTTATTTTTTTATACAAGTGTGAACACTTTTGTTCTTTTTTTTTTTTTTTCTTTTTTAAACTTTTCATTGAAGAATAATCAAAGAACTTACAGTTATATATTTTGGAGCTGAGATCAGTAAGACTGAAGAACAGGAAAGACACTTCCTGACAGTGAGATCTATTAGTCAATGGAGCAGTCTCCCAAAGGAGGTGATGGGAGCACAAGAAGTGCTTTAGCAGAGCTAAAGCCAGTATTAAGTGCTCCAAGTGATGCAGCCAGCTCCAGAGGATTGCCATGGGACACGGCAAGGCCGCCTACCATTAGCCTGCTAATGCACATCCTGGCCTGGCCAACTGCTAGTGGGAATAGCTCATTGACTTAAAAGGTCATTAACAATAAAATATTAGAAGACAATTTTCAAATGGCAGGGGCAGCTTCTGCAATGTGTCTTCCATTACAAAAGGTGATTATTAGTAGGGGGAAGAAACAAAGAGTTTTTGTTAGTATTTGTATTAGGGTGTATTAATTAGCTCTTCCTTAAACTACCTAAAAGTAAAAACCACTAAATTTCTTAGATCCCCTTCATGTCTACTTTGCCCTGCAGAAAACAGTCCTTTCCAATCTCTTGCTAGCATTACCAAGTAAATAAAAAAGTAAAAACCACCAATTACAAAGCTTAGGACTGGGAACACAGATCTATAATCTCTTTACCTTAGAAAGCAAACAAAACCAAGACAAATTGAAATGCTACAATTCAGGCAAAACCCAGCCTTATAAACTTCTCCATGAGGAAGAACATAATTGGTATGGGGAGGAAGATTAAACTATTTTCCAAAGGTTTTAGTGTCAGTACAAAATCCAGCACTTGCACTGTGCAGCAGGAACATTGTTTCAGTGGTTTAGCTGGTAACTTTCAAATACCTTGTATTTAGACTTTAAATGTCACCTTAGTACTGAGTGTCTGGAATTTGATACTTACTTTAGTGTCCTGATCCATTAGGACTAAAAATTGTACAGGCAACCAGCCCTAGATCTATAGTAAGAGTAACTCATATACGAGTTGATATTTCTCTCACTTCGAAGAGATGGAAATCCTTTGGAGGGGGGACAGAGAGAGGGAGAGAATTACTGTTTAGTTTTAAAAGCAGACTCACCAGCACAACACCAAAGCCTGCCTGCACTGTTGAATTTGACCTTGATCTCAATGGCACCATTTCTGTTCTTCAGAAAGCTATAGGGTAGAAAGAAAGAATTGGCAGAGTCATCTCAGTGGCTGAGCCATTCTCCCATCTCCAAGTCTGTCATTGTAGGGGTTCAGCAGGAGCAGGGATAAAGCAGCTGTGCTGCAGGGAGCCTTCTGACAGCCAGCACTAAGGAGGACATGGAACCTGTAAAGACCAATGACCTTGTGCCAGTAAAGTCTGTCAGGGAAAACTCCTGACATGCCTCTGCATTCACCCCATGCTGGTCATTCCAGCTGCTGGAACAGTTGTGTGGAATTAGCTGCATCAACAGAAAACAATTGGGTAAAATATCTGTTGTCAGTGGCACAACTTGTGTTACCTGTGCTTGTCCGTAACCCAACAATTAGATCCATCGTTAGCAGCTTGGCTTAATTATAACTTAGAACTTCTCCAAGCATAGACTTTGCTCAAGATTTTAAATGACTATAATTAATTAGGCAGAAAGCCTGAAGTGTCTTCTCATGCATTGTTAGAATTATTTTTTCCTTTCCCCACATTGACACCAGAATGTGGTTTCATAAATGAACTGGGCTGTCAACTAAAAGATTAAAAAAGAGGCATCTCTTTGTAGAAAAACACAGAGAAATGCCTTCTATATCCTATATAAAGAGAAAGAAGGCTTCAGAATTTTTAAATCTTGACTAAGAGATGCAAAAAGGAGTATCATTCTAACCTACACTTGTTCAGTCCCACTCCTTATAGAAAAGATTTCTTTCTTATCTGTTATTTAAAAAGCTTTTTGCACCCTCCCCAGATTTCTGCTGTTATCAGAGACCTGGTATCAGGCAGCTGGGCAAAACTGCCTGAACCAACTGCTTGGATTTTAACCGGTAAAAAGCAAGCCACACAATTAATGCCAGAAAAACAGCAACTTCTTCAGGGACACGGGAGGAAGGAAGGTGTTATCAGGCAAAGAAACGCTTCCCACTGGGCTTTCCAGTGCCCACCCGCAAGAGAAAAACGCTAAAGGGAGGACAGCCCGCCCCAGCAGGGGCTCCCTTGTGCAGGCTGTGCCCTCTGCCAGGCGCCCGCAGACTCTGCCGGCTTTTTGGCTCGCTCCGGCCGGAGGAAGGCGGGAGCCCTCTAGGGGCGGCACACACAGCCCTGGAGGGACGCGGGCACCTGCCCGGCCTCCGCCTTCTCCGTGCCCAGCCCCTCCTGCCTTCCCTCGGCACCGGCCGCTGCCCCGGCACATGCCAGGGCTCAGCAGCTGCGGGATATGCAGAAAATCAGGGTACGAGGGAGTCCCAGACTTCTTCCTGGAAATGCTTACTCTACAGCCCAGAATATGATGTGGGAAGTCTCCGTTCTGTGGTTGGCTCAATCCTCTCAGGGAAAAGAGAACATCACCAAAGTGCACACTGCAGTTCTGGAGCTAGCCTGGCTCACCACAGCATAGCTGGAATTTTTCTTCGAGGCTATGCAAAAGGACTTGGTTTTGCCTTACTATATGCCTCAAGCATACTGTGAACTCTCGTATAAAATGAGCAGGTTTATCTTTGTCAAGGCTTGTTCAAAGTAGTCCTTTCCAAGAGCTACTTCTATTTGAAGGCTAGGTAACAGCTGCAGCATTTAAACATTTAAATATTTTCTCATTCTAATGAGAACTTAAGATCCTTTCCAAACAGCTCAACATAACAACATGCGAACATGGCAAATCCAAACTTCAAAACATTTTGACTCTTTAAAAAAAAAAAAAAATCCAAAACCAAACAACACCCAAAACAAAACACAAGCCTCAAAAAGCATCAACAAGATATTAAGAATTTGCTGTAGTGCAACCAGTAGCAGATTTTGTTAGTGATACAAACCAGAAGAGTGCAAGAATGGCTTAACACTTTGGAAAAAACCCACCAAGATTGTTTGTTTTTTTGAAATATAACGGATATTGACCATAAAACACCTGCACAGTTACATGAGCAAAACTGCAGTATCAGTTTGGTGAAACAGGTAAATACCCATTACAGTCTCTACATATAGAGACTGTAGACAACTTTCTGCATGACATATTCAAGGTTATGCTCAATTTCTTAAAAAATAAAAATTAGAGACACTAAGATGAAAGCCTGTAATCTAATCTATATTAGTGCTACCTGAATAGCAAACTTGATCTAGATGCAGAAAATGTTTTCTCTATCCCTTACCAAATGGCAGAGATGTGAAGTCTGCATTACTAGGAGAACCCATATTTCTTAAAGTTCTTCCAGTCTCTGAAGAAGCACTTCTGCTCACTTCATTTCCCAGGTGGAGAGGACAGGCATTTCCAGGCTGTTGGCAGAGCCCTGGTTTTGGCTGGGATAGAGTTAATTTTCTTCCTAGTAGCTGGTACAGTGCTGTAGTTTAGATTCAGCGTGAGAATAATGTTGATAACACACTGATGCTGTAGTTGTTGCTAAGCAGTGCTTACTCTAAATCAAGGACATCTCAGTCTTCCGGGTTCTGCCACTGAGGAGGTGCACAAGAGCTGGGAGGGAGCACAGCCAGAACAGCTGACCCAAACTGGCCAAAAGGCTGTTCCTTTACATTCACTTCCATAGGCTTATTGATTGTTTCTTGCTCAAACCCTTCAGCAACAGAGACTGCAATGACTGGAATCTTGGAGCAGAAGGTTGGCTCTGAGCCCCATGTTGAACACATGGGTGGTGGGGATCTGTTGGATGAGAAGGAAAACAGTCACGAGTACGACAGCACAGCCAAGAATCGGCAATGCCTGGATTTCATCTCCTACTATTCAAAAGGAGACACAAAGCCAATGCTGGGCACCAGCAAGGAGAAAAAACAGTGATGTCCAGTCCTGTTCTCAACTGCAGCTGGAATGGGCTCTGACCTAGAGGAAGGCAGCGCTCTTTGGGAAGGGAAGAGCCCAGGATTCCCATGAGACACTGGAGTGACTCTGTTCAGCTCTGTGTTGTTATTGGCAAAGATCAGCTGGAGCTGCCTTTGGACTGTGGAGTTACCTGGCTGATGGATTCCCACAGCTGCTTTACAAAACCACGGAAGAACAGCAGCAGTCAGCTGCTGCTTGCGCTCCCTGGTGAGCCCAGTGAATCACAGGCTGGAAAACTGCTGCTAAACCTACTCAAGCAAATCCCCAGCCTACACTTTTCTGGGAATTTGCTGCTTTTTTAGGGATTATTACAAATGAAGTTCACCCCTGCAATTCCTCCTGTTAAAAAAATAACAACAAACCAAAAAAAAAAAAAAGACATTTAGAATCATGAAATGGAAGATATTTTCAAGAGACTTGAGGTTTGATCTGAAGTAGGTTAAAGCATGCCCATAACATCTTGACCAGAACACACCTGATGATTCATTATGGTTATAATTATTTTTGTATTTCAAGAAATACTTCATCTGCTTCCCTGTGATGCAGCATTCTGGGTTCTCGTAGACTTTTATTCTCTCTAGGATAAATACAAAAGCATTTAGACAAACTTCCTGAAAGAATGCATCTCTCAGATCCCCTTGTTAAAGCTTGCCTTTTGTCAAGTCTCCTATCTCTGTCCTACTCTCTTATGTCTTCCTCTCATGAGGATATGAACACCTGCACTCATGAGGATATGAACACACAGGTTAGCTTAGCTTCCAAGCCTTGTATTTCAGGTTACTATTCCTCTTAGAACTTTCTCTATGTTCTGCAGTAAATTAGCCCTAACATACTATGAGAATTTGTTCTCCAGCCTCCCACTTCAGTGGTCAAAGACCACTTCTTTAACAAGTGTGCAAGTAAATAAATTGTCACCATATCTGGCTGCAACAGAGCCATTCAGATCCTGTTACTGCAGGACACCAGCAGTACACCCTACTTAACCTGCATTGTCACTGTGGTCAGATGGAAAAAAGAAGGAACAGATCAAATCAATGAATTAGAGGTACACAGTCCTGAAATGGTTTCAGTGACATTAATCTTTTCAAGTAAGCACACTGTGTGATCCCAAGGATTGCTTCCTTCTAGTGCTTCCACTGATCTCTCTTTCCAGAAGAGCCCTATGAAAGAAGGTAATGAGGTGAGACAGGGTAACCACTCAAAGATGTGCAACATGACCTACATGAAAAAAGTTGCAACATGAGGAACCTGAAATATTAGAATGAAATAGATCTTTAAGAAAAGAAACACAGTGCTTTGAGTGACTATACTTTATTAATACTTCAGAACCATCAGATCCTACAGTGGCAAGTTCTTATCCCCACCTGTTTCCAATCACTGTTTTGAAACAACTTCTTGCAATATGCAAATAATACATGAGGCACTGTGTGAATACAAAAGTGACAGTACAAAAAATTCCCAACAATTAAACCTCATGCAATACATACATATATAAAAAATATGGTAATGTAGCATAATACACACAAGCACTAGTAGAACAATCCATGTAAATGAATGTACAAATATGCATAGCATTTAATGATTAATGACAACAGGTTCTGAACTTGTGCATGAAACCAGTCAGCTTAAATAAGAGTTTTAAGAGACTAGATAACTGGTTAAGCCACAGCTTATAAAACCTGCTGTACTGCAGCTTTTCTGCTCAGGGTCACAAGTGCAGACTAGCATATAAAATAAATAAGGACTACGATTCTACAAAACTTGGCTAACAGCTCCTATTTTAAAGTCACTGGCCCTCTTACTTCCATTCAAGATTCATCAGCCAACACAGTGGCAAGAAATGTGCCTAAAGCAACAACTCTGCTCTTGTACTGTTTTAATACTGATAAGATACGTTTTTAAGTCAGCAGGAGTAGTTAAGAGAGGTCTCACTTACCACTCCTCAAGCACAGGACTGGCATTACAGCACGTGGCAGACCCTGAAGAATGGCACTGACTGAGGTTGCTGAGCCTCGAGCTGTGCTGCTGCTCCCACCCTGCCTGCTCAGCCAGCTTGGGGGGACAGAGCTGGGGAGGGCAGGGAAGGCAGAAAGCTTTTCTCCCCACTCTCAACAGTGCAAATGTTTGAAAACACAAACAATCTGCAGGAATAAGGAAAGGCAGAGACAAGAACGTTTTTGAAGTCCTGTAATCAGGGTGAGAACTATTGTTACCTGAAATAAGCGTAAGTATTCCTATGAAGTGAAATACAAATATCAGAGTTTTCTTCTTACATATCCAATACTGGTCCATGCCAAAGCAACAGTTATTGTAGTCTCTTATCT